TATGTGGAATAGGTGGGGAATGAGTTCATGTGCATCTTCTTAACACATCTCTGAGTTTGTCATACTTGTAAAAAAAAAGCCTGTTGCAAAATAAAAGCCTTTTGTCAGTGGAGAAGAGTAACATCTGGTTTTGCAATTATAGCAATGGAAGAATAGACCAATTGAGTGCCTTGCGATCCCCTTCCCCCCCAAAGCAGGAATCACAGGGACATTTCCGTATGGCTCACCGCAACTTTTGCACAATTATTAGAAAGGGTAGTTTTGTCTGAAAACTTCAGATGTTGATTTCTTCAGATTCTCTACAGAACCTTTATTTGCCTTTTGAAATCCTTTGGGGATATAAGTGAGGGATATCACATCCAGCATCATGTTCAGTTCCTGCTTAGAAAACTGTGCTGTCTTTAATGGGGCAACTGATGAGCTGAAATAATACATAGGAAATGGGTAGAACTTTGGAATGGAATGGAATGATCCCAGCCTTATCCTTGTTGTTCTGTTAGTTCAGTCCCCTTAAGCAAGAGTCTTCATATTACTCTTAGAGTTCTTACCCCAGTGGGTACATTTGGTTAAGAACTGTAAGAGTAATATGAACAACTGTCAGCAGGAAAATGCAGACTCCAAAGTGTTACTGATATGAATTAAATGGTTTATTGAAAGACGTTATGGAATGATACTCTACAAAAGCAAATAGCAAACTGAACCAGGTGCATGAAAAGCAAGGATAAACCACTAGGCATTATTCAATTCGATTTATTATGATAAAAGATCAGCAAATACCTTAAAATGCTACATATAGTTAACAGCAAAAATACAGCCAGACAGTTGATACAGATAAAATTTTTAGTAAATAAGACAAAGTGAATTTTTTAAATTTCCTAAGAAATAATAGTCTTCAGTCTGATTAGTAAAGGTAAAGGTAAAGGTTCCCTTGCTCGAAAGCCAGTCGAGTCCGACTCTAGGGTTGCGGTGCTCATCTCCGTTTCCAAGCCGAAGAGCCAGCGCTGTCCGAAGACGTTTCCGTGGTCACGTGGCCGGCATGACTAAACACCAAGGTGCACGGAACGCTGTTACCTTCCCACCAAAGTGGTACCTATTTATCTACTTGCAATTTCTTGCTTTCGAACTGCTAGGTTGGCAGGAGCTGGAACTAGAGACGGGAGCTCACTCCGTCATGCGGCACTCGGGTCTTGAACTGCTGAACTACCGACCTTCCACAGCCTGCAGTTCAGCGTCTTAACCACTTGAGCCACCGCAGCTCCTGTCTCAGTCTGATTAGGATAGCACAAAACATAGCACAAATCCTTGGTACCTTAGCAGTAATTTCATTACAGATGTCAGCTAAAAGAAGAGTAGAATAAAACTGATTAGACCTGCCTGGGTAGGTGACAGTTATTGGAGTAATATATTTAGAATGAATCTCGTGATAAAAATTGGCAAGATAAAAGAACGTGCTCAATTGCCTCAAACTGTCCAGAATTACAAGGACAGAGTCGGCTCGCGTATGGGGTATGAGCATATCTCCCTTGCAAGAGGGTAGATGGGAGAACATTTAATCGTGTTAGAGTAAAACCTCTGCGTTGTTTAGGGAGTTCTAATGAATAAAGGTAACTGGGGCCCCGGTCACTCATGCCGGAAAACGCGGGGGGGAGGCGTGGCTATTTGTGGTGCCGCAATTAGCCGCGTAATCAGACGCGGCAGCGGCAACCCACAGTTCCGGCTCTCGGTGTGTGCGCTGCAACAAAGACAGCCGGAGGGAAAAGCCGCGCCAAGGGAGTCCGGAGGCAGCCCGTGGCAAACCGTTTGCTACTACGAGGAAGTATTTTTTATTGCGCATTTTCGGCAGCATGCCGTGGGTTGGCCACGGGTGCGCTCCACTTGCCAGATGTTGTGGTGTGATTGCGCCCAGAAAATCCGCCATCCAATCATGGCTCTCCTGCGGCAAATTCACCATGTGAACGAGGCCTGGATGGAGCAAAATTTAGGTTTTTATTTCTCACCACTAAAAAGTGTGAGGCTCGTGCTCTGTCCATTTGGGGAGAAGTGTCCCATAGTCTTTGTTTGACAATAGCTTTGGCTCCTTGAAATCCAAGGTGTAAAAGGGCAGTTCTAGAGAAGCCTAGAAGTGCCAGTTTGTATTCTGTTGCGGAAACCCAGCTTGAGCAAAAGCTACCTGAAAGGATTAAGGGGGGTCAGCCCTGATGAAAGGAATCTTAATTTAAACCAAAAAATTATGGCATAAAACCAAGCCCGGGTTTCTAATGTAACTAGACCAGCCTCAAGCCTGAGCAGAGCACGGGGAACACATTTTGGTACTTTTTTGCATAAAAACTCCAATCACCACCCTCGGCAAAAAAGAGGCATAATCAAAACATTAGTAGACCGTGCAAGATGGATATGTGAACTGCACTTTCTCAATGATGAACTAAATCATCTAAACCGTGCTCTTCAAGCAAATGGCTACTCTGAGAATGAAATGAGAAGAGCGATTAAACCAAAGGTAAAACAAACAACTGAGGAAAAACAGTCTCCCACAGGAAAAGTGTTTTTGCCATATATCAAAGGAATCACTGATCAAATGGGAAAACGTATGAAAAAACACAACCTACAAACAGTATTCAGACCCACCAGAAAAATACAACAGATGCTACGATAGGCAAAAGACAGAAGAGACTCCCTCACTTCTGCAGGAGTATACCTCATACCATGCAGTTGTGGACAAGTTTACATCGGGACCACGCAGCGCAGCATTCGGACAAGAATAAAAGAACATGAAAGACACTGCAGACTGGGCCAACCTGAAAAATCAGCAGTGGCTGAACATAGCCTAACTCAAACAGGACACAGTATTTTGTTCCAAGACACTGAAAGGTTGGACAACACTTTCAATTACCATCTCAGATTACACAGGGAAGCCATTGAAATTCACAAACATAAACATAATTTCAACAGGAAAGAAGAGAGTTTAAAAATAAATAGGACATGGCTTCCTGTCCTGAAAAACACAAACGGCTTTACATCAGACAATAGCACTACAGATAGGACTAGAATTTCAACAACCTCCTCAGGAAGCAGGAAACCTCCTCAAGAAACAAAAGAACCTCCTCAGGAAAGCTCCTCCATTAGCATGTTCACAGCCTGGGGAACTCCTACAAGACAATGACTCAACCCTACCCCACCTTCCGGAGTAGATATAAATTTACTGCCTACCATTTTCTTCTCACCTTGACACACAGAGTATTCCATCTTTCTGTGTTTATACCTCTGAGGATGCCAGTCACAGTTACTGGCGAAACGTCAGGTTCTACAATGCCAAGACCACGGCCACACATCCCGGAAAATCTACAGCAACTAATGATCTCCAGCCGAGAAAGCCTTCGACAACATATCTTAGCTTAGTTGGCAAAGTTAAAATCCTAGTCAACACACTAGTTTCTAGGCTCCTTCAACTGAATCCACAGATTCTTCCTTGAGGGCCTCTGGTCAGAGGGGCCTTCAGTTGTAAAAACACATTTGAACAAGCTTGGACAAGTTTTAGGCAAGTTTGGGCAAAGTTGCCCCCCACCCTTAAGGAAAGCTTTCTCTCAATTTTAAGAGGTGCTTCCCTAGTGTTTACAGCTACTTGCAGTTAGATGTTCCTCATTTGGTGCTATATTGTTGCATTCTCAGCAAAAGTCACAGTTTATGATGGCAAATTACACAGAGTCAGGGTCTGAAATCCATTTTGTTCAAAGACGGAGTCTGTAACTATGCCAATTCTGAGCCAGATTGACAAATTCAAGCAATTATTGTTTGTTTCTGCCCTTGCATGGCAGTGGCAGCCCATGCTGGTCCCTAGACTTGTCTAAATGGGTTTGTTGTCTGCCCAGCTTGCTTCTAACTCTGAACACAGGAATACCCTTAGGAAATGGGTGCTTTTTCAGGGCCCTTCTTTTGCTCTGGCTATGCTCTGCAGCACTGCTGTGGGGAGATGGAATGCTGCCTGAGGCATACTGCAAATCACAGCAGGTATTGTCATTTCATTGAATATCGGATAGATGTGTTTTGACAAAAACAGAAGTGTCTGCCTCTCCAGTTCTTTGTTATATACTCCTCTTTGAACAAAATAAAACCTTCTCTTTTGGGGAGATAAAATGGAAGTCCACTGGCACCTGTAAAACTAACAGGCCGAGGACAGACTGGCAGTTTGAAGCGCAAGGGAGTCGTGGCAAAACAAGTTGTTCCTGGTATTCCCGGTCACACTGCACCGACTGATGCGAGAGCATACCGGGGAGGAGGCGCAAGGGAGCATTCGCACTGTTGGCCCGTCCCTGGCGGAGGCACAGTTAAGGGAGCATTCGCACTGTTGGCCCGTCCCTGGACCAGCACGGCTTTCTTTTTGGTCATCCGGAGATATGCACATATGTGCATAAGCACACAAATAAATTGCGGCTTTCGATGTTCACATTTTGTTGGTGTGGGATGACCGCGCTCTCCAGGGTTTGCTACCACTTTCACCAGGTACTTTTTAAACTCGGGAGGCAAGCGCTACAAGACGGGCTGAGTACGGCTGGGGAACGCCTGACAGATGTGCCTGTGTGAACGGCCCCTTTAATCCGTTTGTGAAACGTTTCTGGCATGTGCCTATCTCGGGGCAAACTGCCAGTCTGAACTCAGCCACAATTTATGCTTTTTTGAGTCCAAGATTACTTCAGAAGCAAGAAGTGTTCATCCACGGTAATGCAGAAGTATTTGCACTCCAAGTTACAGACAGTAGAAAGGCTGTAAAGAGAGACCAGTTTAAAAATTCTTTTTGGAAGGATAGGAAAGGAATTGTGGCTTTATTAGGTTATAATGAAGGAGAATACAGCTTTCTTTACTGCAGAGCCTGAATGTCGACTTGTATAATATGGGTATACATGCAGATGATCCATATTTAATGCAGATTTGTCATTCAGGACTGCGTGTGTGTGTGTTGCACTTGCTAATATTTTGGTACTACGATTCTTTTTCTCCCCCCCCAGAATAATTCTGGAGATAGATGAACCAGCTTCCAATCATAACGGAGGAGAACTGCTGTTTGGAGACGACGGCTATCTTTATATCTTCACTGGAGATGGAGGGATGGCTGGTGATCCTTTTGGCACATTTGGAAATGCTCAAAACAAGTAAGAGTCTTGGCATTCTTTTTTTGGTTTGTTCATTTGGTAGGCAGGCTGTATCCTCTGTACTGCCTATGCATAGAAAAGGCAGACCAGCCTCAGTAGCAGCATGTTTTTTTTCCTTTAGTATAGTCAGGCTGTACCATGGACTATGCAGTACAAAGATAAAGCAGATTCAAAGCTCTGTTTGTCAGATAGGGTGCTCTTATATAGCTGGGATTTGTGAAGTGTCTCCAAAGTCTGGCAGTTGCTGAACAAGTCACACAAAAAAGTGCCTTTGCTTGAGAATGCTGAAGCTGTAGATGTCAACAGCGTGGGACCAAGAGACCTAAAGAAGGGGCTTATACCTTATGAGTTTGGTAGTACAATACTTTTGCTCTTTTGTCTCTGCACTTTCACAGACTAGGTGGGTGAGCACTGGAGACAGGGCCTTCTCAGTAGTGGCACCCAGGCTCTGGAACACCCCTACAAGAGTTTGACCGGAACCCAATTTATAGACTTTGACTGCGATCACACACACTAAACAATCCACTTTCAATCCACTTTCTTTTTTTGCAAATATATTTTTTTATTAATTTTCAAACAATTCATATAACAAAACATTCAACTTTACAACTCCAACAAACAATGTGTTACAAACATTATAATCAATCCACTTTCTAACTGGAATTTACTGTGTGAACTGGCAAAATCCAGTTTGAAAGTGCATTGAAAGTGGATTATTTAGTGTGTGTGACTGCAGGCTTTGAGGCTCCGGGAAAAGTCATTATTATTCCTCCAGGCCTTTTAGATCAGTCTCTCTTATTATTAATTTTTTCTTAGTGGTTTATAAGTTTTCATGCTTTCATCCAGGGGTTACGTTTTTCCTGGTTTTATGTTGACTGTTTTAATGTTTTTAAAAGCTTTATAGTTTATAGCTGATACTATTTTGATTGCTTTACTGATTTTTTTCTGGGGTTTTTTCTTGCTGCTTTTATGTTATGGGTTTTTTGCAGTTTTTTTTTTTGTATAAGCCACATCACAAATATTTATTTAGAGAGGTAGGTTGTAAATTGCTTTGTCAGGCCATTTGCCCAACTGGTTCAGCACTGTCTTCTTCAGCTAGCTCCAGTTATATAGCTGGATGTGATGTTGTCATGTTGATGAACACCATTTCACTCCCTCCCTAAGGAGCAGCGGCGGGGGGATGGAGGCGGTTGGCAGGAGGTAGCCTGCCTAAGCAGGTATTTTGTATTCTTGGGGGGTTCTGGATGCTCGGAGGCTATTGCCATGTTGTATGTGCGGTGTAGCTAGTGAAATGTAGTATAGTCAGAGTGTTGCCTTAGGAACAGAGAGACATGGGATCTGAGACAGGGTCAGGTCCCTCCCCTTGGCATGAAGTGCAAAGTTACTAGCTGACAGAAGAGACTGACTCAGTCTCTTCTGTCAGCTAGTCCCTGAAATGCTGCTTAGGGAGAGGGCAGCGGATAGGAATGGTATAAGGAACAAATTAGGGGGTTACAGCAAGAAGGGGAAACTGGCAGAAATTAAGCCTCCCATTCAGTAGAGGGAAATGTAGTCTGGATCCAACTCAGTGTCCTTTCCCAAACATCACAAATAGGCAACAGCCTGTACAGCCATAACATTTCTAATGAGGCCTGCATTGTTGTTCTACATTTGTTGAGGTTGAAACATTTGTTTTCTGTGCTTTCTGGTGGGTTTTTATTTTGTGTGTGTGTGCACTAAAAAGTGTATTATGTCATTTGTGAGCAACATACTCATCATCACCGTGACTTGTAGGGCGACATTCAAAGGGCTGTATATTGTTGGATCCTTGGTGTACATGCACGCAGTGCATTATTTATGCTGGTGCAGTCAAGGTTTATGGGCTGGTTTTGCCCCTCCCCCTTTTGTTCGCAAAAGCCATGTTGTTCTCAAAAGCCTCCCTTTCTTTTTCTCCATGTGGTGGAATGGCAACCATTCATTTGTATGGGAGAGAGTAAAAAGGTACCTTAATGGATGCTGCTGGTGGGGAAGCAAAGCCTGCCTTCAGCCCCTCATAGCCCCACTATTTCAGCAAGAAAGAGTTTGTGCCTTGCTCCTGAGATCACTCCCCAATTGCAACCCATTTGCTTTGTCCCACAGAATTCAATGGCAGAGGTATCTGTATTGCCCCCCCCCCCAACCTCTCCTCTGTAAATCCAGCCACTACTTACCATGACGCTAGAATGTGACAAAAACCGTAAGGCTATAAACAACTTTCAAGCTCGTCAATGAAGACGCCGAAGACAGGAATGATTGGCTTTTATTTTATTTGGCGCACTCACTGGTAGCTTCTGCCTAAACGCCATCGAAATTACTCCAGGATCCCAGTTATGCTCGTGTGCGGTTGTTGTTCCTCCCAGAGGAGACGTTCCTGATGGGATTGTGCCTGGTGTTTTTTTTAAACATTCACAGGCAATTGTTGAGCTTGCGGATGCTCTGAATGGAGCTTGCTCTGCTGGTAGCTTGACACCCACTTGTTAGTCGTCGTTGGCCCGTGAAGCTTTTGAACTCTAAACCACAAGTTTCAGTCTGCCCGGATGGGTGACCACAGAAAGGCATATCATTGAGGAAAGCTGCTCAATAGCCCCTTTGAAGGAAGATGGTCTTGTTCCAAGCTCTAGAGTATGAATGTCCAGAATAAACAGAGCACAGCTTGGTAGTTTTGCTAGATGACATGGGCAAGCAGACTGAACAAAATGAATGGCTCTTTTCTCCCTCCACACGGGATACCCCATTTGTTGCTTGAACTGATGTGTGTCTGTGGGGAAGTGTGCATTTCATGCTGCCTGTTCTTGGGATAAACAGTATCTTATTTTCACCTGATACTTCTTGATACAGTATCTTATTTTCACCTGGTACTTCTTGAGAGAAAGATGGGCACGTGGTATTTATGAATTACCCATATTTGTAGCTCACCACATCCCAAAGACTTGGGTGAATAGCAGACCATTAACAATAGGTATGGGAAATACATGATTAAAAGGGGGATAGATAAAAAACACCCAACTAAAAATGCATTTGCACACCTTACCTGGTGTGGCGTAGTGGTTAGAGCGTTGGACTAGGAACTTCAGATCCTCATTCTGCCCCGGAAACTTTGCTGGGTGACCTTGGGCCAGTCTCACAGTCTCAGCCTAAATGGAGGAATGATGTAAGCCTATCTGAATGTAGCTGTGTTACATTGGACATTGTGCAATCTTGGGTACCTAGCTTGATCTTTCTCTTTATTATTGATTGGATGTTATCTATATTTTTGTAAATTTACATATTCAGTGGTAGGTGCTTTTGTATTGTGTTCACTATAGTGGGTTTTTTTTATTATCCTGTTTCCTTTACACTGAACAACAGCAAACTAGGAAAATAAAGGTTTGTGGTGCTCCATCTGCCATTCTGTATCCAGCAGCAGGCTACAGGGTCTTTCAGCCGTTCCTCTGCTGCTGTTGTAAATTAATAGCACTGATTTCTGTGCTCTGGAAGGTCACTGCTACTATCTGGAACCCACCTGTAGGCTTACTGGCACAGTCCCCTTGAAGGGGGAACTCACCCAGCCTTGGTCTTTGTTAGTTCAGTCAGTCCTGCATGCGACATAGAAAAGGTCCCCTTTTATGGTTCACACAAGGAATCCCAATTTGTAGAGCTAAAAAAACCTGTCACATCTGTTTCTTCCTCCCACTCTTCTAGTAGTATTCTTGCACTCTCCAAAGCATAGAAACAGAAACTGCTGCAGATGTGCTTCCAAGAACTCTTAAGAAGCAGGTCTGTTTGGTGTAGTGGTTACGTTTGGTGTAGTGTAAGTTTGGTTAAGTTAAGTTTGGTTAAGTTAAGTTTGGTTAAGTTTGGTTAAGTTTGGTTAAGTTTGGTGTAGTGGTTAAGTGTGCGGACTGTAATCTGGGAGAACCGGGTTTCATTCCCCACTCCTCCACTTGCACCTGCTGATGTGACCTTGGGTCAGTCACAAGCTCTGGCACAGCTGTCCTTGAAAAAGAGCAGTTTGTGTCAGAGTTCTCTCAGCCCCTCCCACCTCACAGGGGAGGGGAAGGGAAAGGAGTTTGTAAGCCGCTCTGAGACGCCAAGTGAATGGCGGGGTATAAATCCAATCTCTCCTCTCTTCTCTCTCTCTATCTTCTCTCTCTCTCTCTGTTTTGTATTCCATGCAAGGAATCCCAATTTGTAGGATTTTTAAAAAATGCTTGCCACATGTTTTTTCCTCCCACTCTTTAGTAAGAACATAAGAGAAGTCATGTTGGATCAGGCCAATGGCCCATCCAGTCCAACACTGTGTCACACAGTGGCCAAAACCCAGGTGCCATCAGGAGGTCCACCAGTGGGACCAGAACTCCAGAAGCCCTCCCACTGTGGCCCCTCAAGCACCAAGAATACAGAACATCACTGCCCCAGACAAAGTGTTCCATCTATAACTTGTGGCTAATAGCCACTGATGGACCTCTGCTCCATATGTTTATCTAATCCCCTCTTGAGGCTGTCTATGCTTGTAGCTAGCTGCCACCACCTCCTGTGGCAGTGAATTCTATGTGTTAATTACTCTTTGGGTGAAAAAGCAGTTCCTTTTATCTGTTCTAAGCCCTACTGCTCATTAATTTCATTGAGTGACCAGAAGTTGTTGTATTGTGAGAAAGAGAGAAACATACTTCTTTCTCTGCCTTCTGTATCCCATGGATAATTTTGTAAACCTCTATCATCACCCCCTCAATCATCATTTCTCCAAGTTAAAGAGCCCTAACCTCTTTAACCTTTCTTCAAAGGGAAGGTGCTCCATCCCCTTAATCATTTTAGTTGCCTTTTTCCAATGCTATAGTATCTTTTCTGAGGTGCAGTGACCAGAACTGTACACAGTATTCCAAATAAGGCCACACCATAGATACAAGGGCATTGTGATACTGACTGATTTGTTTTCAGTCCCCTTCCTAATAATCCTCAGCATAACATTTGCCTTTTTCATTGCAGTCCCATACTCAGTCGACATCTTCAGTGAATTATCTACCATGACTCCAAGGTCTCTCTCTTGATTAGTTACCCCATCAACGTATATTTATACTTAGGATTTTTTGCTCCAGTGTGCATTACTTTGCACTTGCCTACATTGAGCCTCATAGTAGTATTTCTTGCATTTTCTAAAGTGTAGAAATGGAAACTGCTGCAGATGTGCCCTCAAGAAATGTGGTATAGAGGTTAGTGTGTGAGACTAGGACTGGCAAGACCTGTGTCCAAATCCCAACTCTGCCTCGAAGCTCACAGGGTGACTGTAGGCCGCCTCTCTGTCCTCACTTGAAAGAATTGCAAGAGTTGCCATGAGGATGAGTTGGAGGAGAGAATCACATGAGGCACCCTGAGCTCCTTGGAGGAGAGATGAGATCAAAAAGGTACTGGATATAAATCAATAGATTAACAATGCTTTTTCTGTGTTTTGCATGCACTCCAGGTCAGCGCTTCTTGGCAAAGTGCTCCGGATCAACATCGACAACAATGACCGCGGCCCTCTCTACCGGATTCCTCCTGACAACCCTTTCGTACACGAACCGAAAGCTCGGCCCGAAGTCTATGCTTATGGAGCGAGGAATATGTGGCGCTGCTCCTTCGACAGGGGTGACCCCTACACGAAGGAAGGGAAAGGACGGCTTTTCTGCGGTGACGTAGGGCAGAACAAATTTGAGGAAATTGACCTCGTGGAGAAAGGGAAAAATTATGGCTGGAGAGCAAGAGAAGGGTTCAGTTGTTATGACAAAAAGCTCTGCATCAATTCCTCATTAGGTAATTATCTATTCTGAATAAATGGACTTCATAATAGGTTGTTTTCAGCACCAGCGCTACCATTATCAACTTGTGTGCATGGCAACGGGAGTGCTTATTTGTAAACATCTATTTTGGGCTTAGAACAAGGCCCGAACAAATTGTGACTTCCCAAGCTGGGCTCAGGCCACTAGCCATATTTGGGGGGCCCATGGGGAAGGGGGGGGTCCAGTAAGCCTCCTGTTTCTGCCGCTTGCATGAGCCTGCAAAAACAGACTTAGCTTCAGCTTTCCACTCCAAAGTTTTCAGTCAAGAGGGAAACTGAGTTGCAGAATGCATTGAAAGAGGATGGCTGTTTTTTCAATCATGCGAAGAGTAAGAAGTGGAAAATGAAGCCCAGCTCTTCCACTGTTGCTCTTAGCTAAATGTGCTGCTAATGGCAGCCGCGGGTGCCAGCTTTTCACAGCAGTTGCTTTATGGGTTGGACAAATATACTGGCCCATGGGGAAGGATTTAGACTTGCTGAGGCCCTAAGCTATACAAAACCCAGAGGCCCCCTACTGTTTTAAATTACATCAGCTGGTCTCAGAAAAATTTAAAATATATACGCCTTTTTAATATTTGAAATCATTTTTTATATTGTGTTTTTATTCGAGGCCCCAGCAGATTGCAAGGCCCTAAACTGTAGCTTATTTAGCTTATGCGTAAATCCGGCACTGCTGAAGGCACAGTGTCAATTCCGCTATGCAAAACTATTATTTAATGCAAACCCACAGAGGCACACAGATTACAGGTTTTCACATTCTTGGGCTTTTTTTACCCCTTAGATATTGATGGTTTGGTGTACATTATTCTACCATAATTCAAAAAAAGAAAAGTACCAATGCCCAGTCCACTTGGAAGGCTCATTGATTTTCCTGGAACCTGCTTCCAAGAGTACTTGTGCTCATAGCCTTAGGGTAATAAAACATAGGTTTCTCTGAGCTGTTAAACCCATACATAGATTAGTCATGCTGTCTGCTTCTTAAGAGCAACTTTCCTTTTTTTAGTTCTCAAATATGGATTGCATTTTATAATACTTTAAAAATAAACGTTGTCCTCACCTGTCCTCTGTACAAAAACCAGGGTAAATAAATTTTGGACCAGGCAGTATAGCCATGTTTCTGTAACGGTGTGCTCCAGAATGGCTCTAGACTTAAGGTCAAGACATCAGTCTAGACTTCAGATTGGATTGTCATCTGCCTTATTGGAAGAGGATAAATGTCAGTATGCCTCTGTCTTCTGAAGTTCATAAAACTAGTGCATCCATTTCATTTCCCCTTCTACTTATTGCCAAATTAAAATATCTTTAATTTAAAGCATGGGGGGGAAATGCTAGAGGTTTGGGGGGGCATATTGGATTAGAATTTGTGTTCTCTTGTCACAGGAAAAGGCACGGTTTACCAACCTTCTCTGTGCAGCAGATCTGGTTGATGAGGTGTCACTGTTTGTGCCTCTTAACTGTACCCTTGATGCTTGGAAGGTCATGTCTTGCTAAGGATCAGTGCATACTTTTCCTGTTCATGATAGCTTTTCTTCATCTCTGCCTGTAGTGGCTCCATGGAGAATTTAGAACATGTGATTTCTTTGCAGCAAGCAAAAAATAATAATGCTGTTTTCTGTCATACTTACTTACAGAGAAATTTATATGCCATCTTTCCAGAGATCTGCTTTCCAAAAGGCATTGGTGAGATGAGGATCTGTTGCAAACAAGCGCTTTAGGCAGAGGAACAACTGATCCACTGTGAGCTAGAACACTGTGTGTAATAGGTCCAATTTTCCCATCATGCTAGCCACTGATTCCCAGTGGAATGAGGAATTCCACAGTGGAACAAGGACTTGGTCTTGTTGGATTAGAACTGAAGAGTAGCCCTATTGAATCAGACCAATAGCCCATCTAGTCCAGCATCCTGTTTCACACAGTGACCCACCAGCTGGCCTGAAGGTTAAATAAGCAGGGCATAGAGGCCTTCACCTAATGTTGCCTCCTAGTACAGATATTCAGAGGTTTATTTCCTCCAACTATAAAAGTTCCCTTTACTCAGCAGAGCTAGTAGCCATTAATGGACTTATCCTCCATGAATCTGTCTAACCTCCTTTTAAAGCCATCTGTGCTAGTGACTGTCATTATGTCCACTGGCAGGGAGTTCCACAGTTGAATTACTCATTGCATGAAGAATTACTTCCTTTTGTCCATTCTGAATGTATTGCTCATCAATTTCATTGGGTGCCCCTAAGATCTAATATGGAAAACGGAGGAAAAGGTTCTCTCTATTGGCTTTCTCTATCCTCCCATGCATAATTTTCTAAACTTCTATCATGTCTTCCTTTAAGACCTCTCTTCTCTAATTAAAAGCCAAAGAGTCTTTAGCTTTTCCTCACAGGAAAGGAGCTCCAACATCTTAATCATCTTTGTTGCCTGTAGAAGTATCCAGTGGGGTGATAATTTTCCCTGTGTGGCCTAGGCTGTAGGAACTGGTGTGCCTTATTTGTACAAGCCCAGAGGGCTGGGACAGATTTTGACTCTTTTGTGCATCAGTTGTTAATATTCTGTGTTTGTAAGACTGCAGTTGAAGTACAGCCTCCCTGCTGCCACTTTAGCATCTTCATTCAGGAAGGATTGTGCGAAATTTTTTCTCTTTGGGCAAATCTCCATTCAGTACTGTCAGACCTCTATTTAGTATGGCCCTATCTCCCAGATGCTCACCCCTTGTACTCTTTCAGCACCAAACACATCCCCAAGACCCATCCCAACAGGAACCCCACGTAACCTTTCGTCCTCACCGCCTCAAGGACCAACATTGCAGAGCAGCATCTTCCTCTCAGCCTGAGGCGTTTAACTACTTGAAATGATTCGTGAGGCTCTAAAAGTGGACCTACACATGATGTTCTGGGATTCTTTCCCTGAAGGCTGTCTGTTATCAAATGAAGTCACAACAGATGGCCCTGAAGAATAAGAGACCAGTGCGGAGGGAGGGAGTAGTTTAACCCCTTTTGGTCCCCACGGTTGGTGTGCTTAAAATCACCTTCCACCCCAAGAGGCTTTTCTGTCTGAAGAGATAAAAGGTACAGGAAAGCAGAGTCTGTGGCCATTTGTGGAGAAAAAAGCAGCTATCTGTACTTGAGATTCTGAAGGAGCAAATGGCTGGGGGCACGAGGGGTGGGAAGAGTTTCAAAGAACCCCTTTTTCTGTCCTCTCAGGCTTCCAGTCACTCTGAAGCCAGAGGCAGCTGCATTACTTGATAAAAGAGAAACCTCAGGAGAAAAAAATCTTAGAACTGTGCTCAAGATATAAGTCTGCCCTAAGAAGTCTCTAGTTCCAACCTAGCAGTTCGAAAGCAAGAAATTGCAAGTAGATAAATAGGTACCACTTCGGTAGGAAGGTAACAGCGTTCCGTGCGCCTTGGTGTTTAGTCATGCCGGCCACATGACCACGGAAACGTCTTCGGACAGCGCTGGCTTTTTGGCTTTGAAACGGAGATGAGCACCGCAACCCTAGAGTCGAATTCGACTGGCTTTCAAGCAAGGGAACCTTTACCTTTTCCCCCCTTCTATTTTATCCTCATGGAAATCTGTATGGAAAGCTATACTGAGATAAGGTCACCCAGTGAGTGGGGAATAAACCTAGGTTTCCCTAACTGTGATGTTCTAGCCAATTGGTCTCCAATATGATGCCCATGAGTCCATGGTTTCCAGGGATGGGTATCCTGGTGCCCACATCCTTCTTACTCAAAGCCAGGAGGAGCCGTGGAAGAGCCTCTGCTTTGCATGCACAAGGACCCAGGTTCAGTCCCTGGCATCTCCAGTTAAAAGGACGAGGCAGTAGTTGATGTGAAAGACCTCAGCCTGAGACTCTGGAGAGCTGCTGCAGGTCTGAGTAGACAATACTGACATTGATGGACTGATGGTCTGGTTCGGTATAAGCCAACTTCATATGTGTTCAAAGCACCTCTTTCCCCAGAGCAAAGAGCCAGTGCTGGTGTTCCTCTACAGGAGCAGGAGGAGCTTCAGAACAGACCAGGAGGCATCAGGTTTGAGCCTGCAGGGAGCACCCACTAGGAAAGAGGAGGGCAGAGGAGGGCACCTCGCGTGGAAGCTCCCAGTGTTCCACGATTAGCCCCTTCTTTGTGGCGGCCATTTTGTGGTGTTGCCCATCACCTGTTCTCAGACTTGCAGTATTGCCCACAGGCACAGCATGGTTGGAGACCCCAGCACTAGGTATTATAGCACACAGTAGCTCTACAGTGAGGAAAAAAATGTCATCTTTACAGTATGCTTGGAACTGAACAGTTGCAAGGAAAAGTACAGCAAACCTGAGAAAGTAAGAAGAGCCCTGCTGGGTCAGACCAGTGGTCCATCTACCCCAGAATCCTGTCTCACACAGTGGCCAACCAGTTCCTCTGGAGGGCCAATAACAGGGCACAGAGGCCTTCCCCTGATGTTGCCTCCTGGCTCTGGGAATAAGAGGTTTACTACCTCTGAATGTTTCCTTTAGTCAACATGGCTAGTAATGACTGCCAAACCTATCCTCCATGCATCTGTCTAATTGCCTTTTTAAGCTCTCTTTGCCTGTGGCCCTCACCACACTGTCCGGTAGTGAATTCCACATTCTAATCGCTCATCTTGTAAAGAAATATTTCCTTTTTTCTGTCCCAAATCTTTCTTAACCTCAAATCCTTGGATTTAATGTAGAGTTTCATTTGTAGATATGGAGTCTGCTTGCATTCAGACTGGCAATGCGGCTGCATTTGGTGCATCCACTGGTATCCGAGGTGGAAAAGGGGATGTGGCATGCCCCCCCACCGGGTCTTCTTCCTCGCAATGCGTAGGTCCAGCATGTCATCCAAACCAGCTTTTTGTTTCTGCTTCCTGGAGATGTAATTAAAACCAGAAAAGCAGAATGCCATGGTATACCTGCTACCCATCTATAACAGTGATATGACATAAAACAACAATAAGTTAGCTAAAACAATGATTTTTCATCCTGCAGGGATGACGTTAATCTTTTCCCCTTTGCAGATGACGTGCTCCCAATATATGCTTACCCACACAAAATGGGGAAATCAGTTACTGGAGGCTATGTCTATCGGGGTTGTGAGTCTCCAAACTTGAATGGGCTGTACATATTTGGTGATTTTATGAGTGGGTAAGTGACTGCAGACTGGCTGTTAGGTGAGCAATCAGTAACTCCATCTTGGCGTGAGATGCAAATGCTTTACGCAGTCTAACCCCTACTGATCTGCAGCCGCTGCTTGCTAGAATTGCATCCAGTGCCAGATGCTTTATCCCAGCTGACTCCTATGAAGCAAGGGCATAGTATGATGAGGTACATGAGCCACGTACAGGTATGCAGATGGAACAATAGGTTAGGTTCATGCGAATAGCCTGGCTGTGCTTTGAAGCTGATTGGATAGTGAGGGTTTGATGCTGTAGCTTCTATAGTGGGAGGGTGGGGTGGCTAAAACATGGTAAGTTTTCTTTGTTGTTAACAAAGAAAGTTTTGCCATGGCAGATTACAAGGAACGTTAGTAATGACTTGTGTATTGCTGTAAGTCATTGTATAAACTGGATTTCAGTGGCAGAGCATGGCTTTGGTATAGTTTCATTATTTTTAAAATATTCACTGATTGATTGCCCTGATAGCATGGAGTACATTTTAAACAAACACATTTCTTCCAAGCACGGATAACAGCTATAACTTTTCTTTGCAGTCCTGTAACTTCTATGTGCCCTAATTTTAAAGCATCTGTTAAACTTTGCTACACAGCAGGACCAAACAAAGTATAATCCATAGGTTTGTGCGGGGTCCTAAGGCATCATGCAAAATCCTAGGAATTCCAGCTCTGATTTAATCTTTTTAAAGAAAAGTCTCTAGTCCTCATGGTTAAGTTGGCAGTCGTGCCTACAGCACTGGAAATAAGAATAACGATTAAAAAGTAGAATTACATTCTGTTTTTAATCTTTGTAGAATATGGATTGTAACATAGCTAACTGTAATTTTGTCATTTATTCTCTTCCGTTGTAAATGATGATAATCACTCACAGAGATGCAAATTAACATCGCTCCTGAGTACAGCTCTCTTTGTGATGTGTAATGCATTGTGGTGGAAGAAGGATGGCATGCATATTTAATAGTCCTGATTGGAGAAAGACCGGTTCAGAATTATTCTTCCAGTTGCTTGGAGGCAGTTCATTGTTTGCTGTTTGTTTTTAATTTGCCTTGCAGGCGTCTAATGTCCTTGAAGGAGAACCGTGTCACTGGAGAATGGGAGTACAATGAAATATGCATGGGAATAGGACAAACTTGCATGTTTCCTGGACTTATCAATAACTACTATCAGTATATCATCTCTTTTGCTGAAGATGAGGCAGGTAATCATTTCAACTGTTTAATCAGATGTACGGCTGCAGTGCTCAGGGTTTTGGACTAGCAGAATGGAATCTGCCTTATGGTCCTCATACCTCAGTGCACATTGGGCCTGCAGGTCACATGAGCCAGTTTGGTGTAGTGGTTAAGTGTGTGGACTCGAATCCGGGAGAACCAGGTTTGATTCCCCACTCCTCCACTTGCAGCTACTAGATGACCTTGGGCAAGTCATAGTTCTGTCAAAGCTGTTCTTAAAAGAGCAGTTCTCGAGAGAGCTCTCTCATCCCCACCTACCTCAGAGGGTGTCTGTTGTGGGGAGGAGTTTGTAAGCTGCTCTGAGACGCCGAGTGAAGGACGGGGTATAAATCCAATCTCTTTTTCTTCCCCCCTCCCCCACAATAAGACTATAAGAGTTGCTCAGGATTGCTAGTAAACTTAACCAAATGCAGTCTTAAACAAAACCATCTTTGACTGCCACCTGAAGATTGAATGTGAGGGGGGCTAGGCACTCCTCCCTGGGGAGGTTATTCTATAATCGTGGGGCTGCCACCAAAAAGACCTTCTCTTGTGTATGCACCAAATGAGCTTCTTCGATTGATGGGACAAGCAGGGGGGCCTCTCCCCGTGATCTTAATTCCCAGACAGAAACATATGGGAGGAGACGGTCCTTCAGATATGTAGGAATTTGATAGTTTGTACTGTACACAGTAGCAATGTTCCCTCTAAGCTGTGGAGTCTTGTGAGCAAAAATTCTACTTTGTGAGCTACTAGCATTAAAGTTGTGAGCGAGCAATTTGGCTGCTGCATTAATTAGTTTGCTCTGGGGCCATCCTTCCTGAGCTAAGAGAAAAATGTGTGAGCCAGAGGCTAAAAAACTGTGAGCTGGCTCACACTAACTCAGCTTAGAGGGAACACTGCACAGTAGTACTGTCCACAGTCCATGTCTCTTTGTCAAATCATCTTTCTGAAGCATTCCGCTATAGTATAGCTCTGTTATCTGTGTAAAAATGCCCTCCTGGATAATTCACTTTTGCTCTTGCTCCTGTATATGGAGGATTCCATTTGGCCGCCGTGGTGATATGATGGACCCTGTCCTCCATAAATTCTAGCTGTGTATATTAAATGGGTGCTGAACTGGCGGATACTCTGTGGGAAGGAGATCTTTGCGACTGGAGTGGATAACTGAATGAAAATGTCAACTGAGTGTACAGGCTTGGTGGAAAAGGCCAATTCCATGTTATGGACAATTAGGGAACTGAGTTTTGTTGATAGAGTGTGATAATCTTCAAAGGGGTGTAAAGGGCAAAAAGCACTTCACAATTAGTAGCCTTAGGCAAATAGGCATCACCTCCACACACACAAATGTTTAATGCTGTTGCTAAGCAGCAACTTTCAAAATTTTTGTAGTCTGAGTTTGTGCTCTTGGCTCTTTGCAGCCTACGTTTCTTTGGCATCCAAACATGGCAAACTGTTTGTCAGAATCCCCGAGGTACATTTAAACATCATTGTTTCTTAGACAGTCAAGCAGATGATGCTTTCTGTGAACCATAACTAAATGGGTGGAAAATATCTGGATGGACTGCTATTTTTATAAAGGAAACACCATTGGAATAGCAAACACGCCTGTTCTTTTGTGGGGGATGAGAGTTTCAAGCGAAGAAGCATTTGTGAGGGAAAGTATACCATCTTGTAAGGCTGTGGTTGATAGCCAGTGTGGCATACTGAACAGAAGGTTGCCCTTGAACTAGGAAGAAGTTGACCAAGCATGGGTCACCGCGACAAATGGCCTTTGTCTGCTTCTCTACCCACTTTCTCCACACTATACATAGACAAAATAGATAGATCCTGCTATCTGCCCATGGAAGACAGTGATTGTCATGGATCTTCCATATGTTCCTCTCCCCCCAGTAGTCTTTTCCAATCAACTGATGGGAGAGAGGGCAATTTTGTTTCCTCCCCACTTTGTCTTCCTGACCCGTATGGTTATTAGACCACGTTGGTCCTGCAACTCTGGGAATAAACTTTCCCAGGTTTGGAAAAGACTGTCGAGGGGAGGGGAAATGCTGGAAAGGTTCACAATCCTTATATCCATAATCTCTCCCTATAATATAATTCTGTAAGACGCAAAGTCACGTAATGCACACCTACAGTGTATGGACGGCTCACCTGTCCGTCAACGGCTTGCCCACGTCCCATTGGCCACGTCGTCTGAGTCCCACCTCAGACGCAGCTTCAAGCGACCTGCGCAGGATCTTCCCGGCGGCTAGAGGCAGCAGGCTGGGGTCCTAAGGCATCATGCAAAATCCTAGGAATTCCAGCTCTGATTTAATTTTTTTAAAGAAAAGTCTCTAGTCCTCATGGTTAAGTTGGCAGTCGTGCCTACAGCACTGGAAATAAGAATAACGATTAAAAAGTAGAATTACATTCTGTTTTTAATCTTTGTAGAATATGGATTGTAACATAGCTCACTGTAATTTTGTCATTTATTCTCTTCCGTTGTAAATGATGATAATCACTCACAGAGATGCAAATTAACATCGCTCCTGAGTACAGCTCTCTTTGTGATGTGTAATGCATTGTGGTGGAAGAAGGATGGCATGCATATTTAATAGTCCTGATTGGAGAAAGACCGGTTCAGAATTATTCTTCCAGTTGCTTGGAGGCAGTTCATTGTTTGCTGTTTGTTTTTAATTTGCCTTGCAGGCGTCTAATGTCCTTGAAGGAGAACCGTGTCACTGGAGAATGGGAGTACAATGAAATATGCATGGGAATAGGACAAACTTGCATGTTTCCTGGACTTATCAATAACTACTATCAGTATATCATCTCTTTTGCTGAAGATGAGGCAGGTAATCATTTCAACTGTTTAATCAGATGTACGGCTGCAGTGCTCAGGGTTTTGGACTAGCAGAATGGAATCTGCCTTATGGTCCTCATACCTCAGTGCACATTGGGCCTGCAGGTCACATGAGCCAGTTTGGTGTAGTGGTTAAGTGTGTGGACTCGAATCCGGGAGAACCAGGTTTGATTCCCCACTCCTCCACTTGCAGCTACTAGATGACCTTGGGCAAGTCATAGTTCTGTCAAAGCTGTTCTTAAAAGAGCAGTTCTCGAGAGAGCTCTCTCATCCCCACCTACCTCAGAGGGTGTCTGTTGTGGGGAGGAGTTTGTAAGCTGCTCTGAGACGCCGAGTGAAGGACGGGGTATAAATCCAATCTCTTTTTCTTCCCCCCTCCCCCACAATAAGAATATAAGAGTTGCTCAGGATTGCTAGTAAACTTAACCAAATGCAGTCTTAAACAAAACCATCTTTGACTGCCACCTAAAGACTGAATGTGAGGGGGGCTAGGCACTCCTCCCTGGGGAGGTTATTCTGTCATCGTGGGGCTGCCACCAAAAAGACCTTCTCTTGTGTATGCACCAAATGAGCTTCTTCGATTGATGGGACAAGCAGGGGGGCCTCTCCCCGTGATCTTAATTCCCAGACAGAAACATATGGGAGGAGACGGTCCTTCAGATATGTAGGAATTTGATAGTTTGTACTGTACACAGTAGCAATGTTCCCTCTAAGCTGTGGAGTCTTGTGAGCAAAAATTCTACTTTGTGAGCTACTAGCATTAAAGTTGTGAGCGAGCAATTTGGCTGCTGCATTAATTAGTTTGCTCTGGGGCCATCCTTCCTGAGCTAAGAGAAAAATGTGTGAGCCAGAGGCTAAAAAACTGTGAGCTGGCTCACACTAACTCAGCTTAGAGGGAACACTGCACAGTAGTACTGTCCACAGTCCATGTCTCTTTGTCAAATCATCTTTTTGAAGCATTCCGCTATAGTATAGCTCTGTTATCTGTGTAAAAATGCCCTCCTGGATAATTCATTTTTGCTCTTGCTCCTGTATATGGAGGCTTCCATTTGGCCGCCGTGGTGATATGATGGACCCTGTCCTCCATAAATTCTAGCTGTGTATATTAAATGGGTGCTGAACTGGCGGATACTCTGTGGGAAGGAGATCTTTGCGACTGGAGTGGATAACTGAATGAAAATGTCAACTGAGTGTACAGGCTTGGTGGAAAAGGCCAATTCCATGTTATGGACAATTAGGGAACTGAGTTTTGTTGATAGAGTGTGATAATCTTCAAAGGGGTGTAAAGGGCAAAAAGCACTTCACAATTAGTAGCCTTAGGCAAATAGGCATCACCTCCACACACACAAATGTTTAATGCTGTTGCTAAGCAGCAACTTTCAAAATTTTTGTAGTCTGAGTTTGTGCTCTTGGCTCTTTGCAGCCTACGTTTCTTTGGCATCCAAACATGGCAAACTGTTTGTCAGAATCCCCGAGGTACATTTAAACATCATTGTTTCTTAGACAGTCAAGCAGATGATGCTTTCTGTGAACCATAACTAAATGGGTGGAAAATATCTGGATGGACTGCTATTTTTATAAAGGAAACACCATTGGAATAGCAAACACGCCTGTTCTTTTGTGGGGGATGAGAGTTTCAAGTGAAGAAGCATTTGTGAGGGAAAGTATACCATCTTGTAAGGCTGTGGTTGATAGCCAGTGTGGCATACTGAACAGAAGGTTGCCCTTGAACTAGGAAGAAGTTGACCAAGCATGGGTCACCGCGACAAATGGCCTTTGTCTGCTTCTCTACCCACTTTCTCCACACTATGTTGTTGTTGTTGTTCAGTCGCACAGTCGAGTCCGACTCTTCGCGACCCCATGGACCAGCTCCCGCCAGGCCCTCCTGTCTTCCGCCGTCCTCTGAAGTTAGCTCAATTTCATGTTCGTTGCATCGATGACACTGTCTAACCATCTCATCCTTTGCCGTCCCCGTCTTCTTTGACCTTCAATCTTTCTCTGCATCAGGGTCTTCTCCAGTGAGTGCTCCCGTCTCATTTGGTGGCCAAAGTATTTGAGCTTCAGTTTCATTATCTGGCCTTCCAGGGAACAGTCAGGGTTGATTTCTTTTAGGATTGACTGATTTGATCTTCTTGCAGTCCAAGGGAC